ATAATTAATAAATAATATTAATGTATAATCAAAATTAATTAATATTAATTAGCTATATTTAAATATTATTAGTATTGATTTAAAAATTAATAGCAATAAATAATAATTAATATTAATGAGAGTTATACTCCAAGTAGCGTTTCAATAAGCTAGCATATGTACATCCAATTGTATATCCCAAAAATAAAGCTAGCTTATTTTTGTCAAACGATGCCTAAGGACAATACAACTTATTCTAGATCCATGTCATAACCTTTGGGTTAGCGACATGACCGAATGGTAATCCTAATTGGATCACCAACTTTGCTTGCATCATCAAATTTAGCTCGACATTGCAACTCCAAGTCTGGTTAGACCAATATGTGTTTGCACCGAATCCATACTCTTCTTTGTCTCGTTTTAATATGGAATTTCTCTTCATCATAAAAAATATGCCACATCTATTACACCGTCTTCCTGTTTCCATTTGACAATTACCAAATCATAGTTTTGAAGCGTCGACGATTGCTTCAGTAATAAATTTAGGAAACAAAGACCAAGCTTAAGACCTGGATGTTATTTTTCAACCGGAAATTGGAAAATGAAACAAAATAATCTCAAACAATAAAATAAGTTCCGAGAGATTTAACAGTTAAAAGAGAATAACAAATTAAAATAATTGACAGTTTTGGTCCTCATAACGGTCCATTAACGGGTTGTTTATCAAACGTTTATCTTTTTGGATGGACATATCAATGTTTAAGAATATAGCCCGGTAAGAGCGATGGCAGGACCAAGAGTATTATCCGAAAGTGAGAGTGACGACTTTTACCCTATTAGCTTGACGGGTAAATTATTACATACAATGTCGTTTTGATGAATTAAAATCTTATCCAACAAGGTAAATAAGAACGTTAACTTTTATCGATAAGCGTTTACTTGGTAAAGATTTAGGTAAATGAGACCTAAAAAGTCCATAAGTAGTTGGGTACTTACAATTGTCCATTGGTCTTGCATGGCCCTCTCTTAATGGGTTAGAAAAAATATGTTGACAACTATATCATCTTTTAACAAATAAATATAACTTTTATATATTTAATAATTTTTTTAGATTATTTTCTTATAGACACTTTTTTAGAGTGCAAGAGGTTGTTCATAAGTGGTTTAATGTGATGTATAGTCTGTATGGTTTATTTGCTAACCCGTACAAAAGTGTTCGGTTATGACTTAATCAATAAAAAAATGATTTTTTTTGCTCAGCCCAAAAACATGTGTTCTATCCGGTCAGCCATGAAATTTCCATTTCGGGCCCTTCTCTAAAACATAAAACTCTTCCTTCCTCACCAAATCGATCATCTTCCATCTTTCTGATATTGATCTACCTTCTTGTTCTCTTTGGAACAACTTTCTTCTTCTCACTCTCTCCTCTTGATCTTTTCGAAATCAACCCTGTTTCCTCTCTCTTTCCTTTCTGAACTCATTTTTCTGGTCCTGAAATCGAGTTGTATCTGCCATCCGTGGATAGAGGTGGAGGTTGAGGGAGATGGGTATTTGGTTTATTTTAAGAAGTTACTAACTAAATCGGACTGGTACATTGATGGTTTTGGGTTTTGGTTTTTCTTACTAGGTTTTTGGACGATGCGGAGAAGAACCCACATGAAGACTTAAAAGCTTCGGTTCTATTTCATCAATCACTTTCTCACCCATTTATCATACCTAGTTGTCATTCAAACTGAAGAACATTCATATTGTCTTCTCATTAGGTATTTTCTCTTTCCCTAATTTCTCTGTTTTTTCTGATTACTGATCGGGTGGTTTACAAAAGAGAGAACCATTGTTGGATTACAATAGAAAAAATAGAATAAAAGAGCTCAAAAGCAAGCTTCAATGACAATCAGTTCGATGGTTCAAAGTTCAAACTATAGTGAATCAACTAGTTTTTAGAAGCTGTTGAATGTGATTCGATTGAAACAAACAATATGAAATCAAACTTGTTCTTGGATGTTATTGATGAATGTGAGCGAGCTCTTTGAAAGAAGCTCTTGAATAAGATTGTAGTTGATGTTGTATCTTTAATATGGTTGAACCAAATAATAGACTGGTAAAATGGAAAACATCACACGTTCAATTTCGATTTCAATCTATACGTTCTCTTGACAATAATACACATTGAGGGGTAAAATAGTCAATTCTGACTGCTTATTTAGCACAACCGAATAACAACATATTTGTTACCATACAAACAATTTTATCAATACAAACAACATTATCCGTACAGGTCTTGAATCTCTAGAGTTTTACATATTCTTGCATTTTTAATTCTTTTTAATTGTCGTAATTATTATGTTTTATATTTAAAAAAAAATCAATAATTTTTATAATTTATTTAAGAAAACAATAAATAGAAAAGTAGGTCGAAAGCATATTACCTTATTTCAATTTTAACATACACGTTCCAAAATCTGCAAATCAAAATGGGATACTTTCACTTGAATCATCCATAACCAAGATATAAAGCAAGCAAACTAATAGCATGCATCCAGCTTCAAAAACGTATGTTCATATAGATTTACAGTTATCTTGTATTTACTTCAAAGCTATTTACATGATTTTGTGTGACTTCGACAAATCATATTTACATAATACCATTAGTAGACCAAGAACAACGGAGAAGACGAAAAAGTGTCTCTGATCATTACAAAACCTTTTTGTTCTTGATTCATGTACGCCCACCGAACGAATCCCACTTGGAAATGTAGTTGTTTTGGAGAGGGCTTCGTGCTAACGGACTTCCTGGAGGACTTTCCGTTCGATCATGCCTGTTATTCCCATAATACTGATCGTAAGGTGAACCTCTTTGGTAACCCATATGACCAGTAGTACCTCTGTTTGGTCGACCATAGTGATTTGGTGGTGCATGTTGATTGTGTTCCGTTGGGTGCCTGTAATAATCATTCGACCTTTGCCTCAGAAGATGGTCCTGACCAGAATTCTTGTGAGGATGGGGATCTAGAGGTGGTTTGGGAGATGATGAGTGTGGATGGGGGTGAGGGTGGAGATGGAGGTGGTGCGGTTGTGGTTGTGATTGTGGCGATGGTGGTGGTTGGCGATGATTTTGGTTGTGATGAGGGTAGTGATGAGGGTGTTGTTGGTTGCCGATGCTCAGGTTCAGAGTTGAGATTGGGGTCGGGTTCATATGGTTGCTCTGGGAATTGCCACCAAGATTGCACAAGTTAGGGGAGCTACGGGCTCTCGGCATTGCACTAAGCTTATTACGGAAAACAGTGATTTCAGGGTTGGTAACTTCAGGAACGGTGGTGGGAATGGTGGTCTCTGGCGGGGTACCAGGGGAAGAACAAGCAGAGTTAATGCTGAAAATTGGCTGGCCAGTGTTAATTGCAGGTGGTCGGAAGTTTCTATACGATGGTGTTGGAGTTGGATGGAAAACAATGCCATTGACCGAATTGATGTACCGCTGCTCAAGAGAGTGGTGGTCCATCGGTCCCATCTGGTTCTCGAGGACGATCGGGTTAGCCGGAAATAGGAAGGTCCGGAGCCTTGGTGTTCCGATCAGCTCGTGGCGGTCATATTCCTCGAACATGAGGCGCAGATCTTCATCGGATTTTACCGTAACCAAAGCATCAAGGTCCTCAGGAATCAACTGGTACTTGAGGATCACATCACCTTCGATTAGGCTGCTAAGCTTCTTCATAAGATCTAAAATTTAAAGGTAAGAAGAAATCTACGAATTTCTGAATGCTCTTCATACGTTATAATGTCAAGAACAAAATCAATGAATTTCCGGATGTTCTTCAAAAATCATAATAACGAAAATTCTTAATAGCATGGGATTTTTCTATCATATCGATCTACGTTCGACATTGCTGTAATCATCGTCATTCCACCGAAAAACACCAATTCCGATGTATTTATATGTCCATACCGGTATTGATGAAAACGTAGACAACGATAAATAAGGAAATCAAAGCCTAATTTCACAATTTTCTTCAAAATTCCTTTGTTGATTGATTATTTTTCATAGATCACGTATAAACAAACGATTCGAATGAAAAATTTGTTAATGAAAACCCTAATAAGCATCCATTTCAGATTTATTTATATGTTTGAACAGATGAAAATGCAGACAACGATAAAATAAGGAAATCAAAGCCTAATTTCACAATGTTCTTTGTAATTCCTCCGTTGATTGTTTATTTTTTCATAGATCACGTAGAAACAAACGATTGGAATGCATAAACGGTTAATGCAAACCCTAATAATATCAGCAAATCCGATTCGTAATCATCTTAGGGTTAGCGAGAGGAAAAAGGATAATACCGGTGAAAGTAATGTTGTAGGGAACAGAGATGACGCGAGTCTCGCCACCGACGTACTTGAGATGGCCATCGGCGGGGCGAGGAAGGATCTTGCCGCCATGGCTGCAGAGAAACTTGACCCTGCATCTCGGGGACCCCGGTGCGGAATTGGGAACGGAGCTGGAAGTGGATTCAGCATCACCGGACGTCGACATGTCGTATATCATCAACGTATCTTATACGTATAATACGATGTATATATACAACAAATTATGCAAAGAAAACATAAACAAAAGAGCAAATTACGGATTTGATCCCTGTGGTTTGCTTTCTTTTACAAAAATCGTCCCTAGGCTTCATTTATTATGGATTTGGTGCTCGTGGTATGTATTATCTGTTGGATTTGGTCCTTCGACCTAACGACCATCTACTAGGTCCATTAAAATCGAGGGCAAAGGGTTTTTTTTGTATTTTCCATTTTCTAAAACACCTTTTAATGAACAATTTTAAATTAGGAAGGAAAAATGTGTATAATAAAACTTGAATGGCCAAACACAAACAAAAGTAATCTTTGTCTCCTACCCTTCGTCCCTATCGTCGAATCGATGACCTGTCAGTGAAACCCATTTTCCGACGAACCCCAATTTTCCCCGTGAAAATTCTCCCCCTTTTCTGCACCACCATCCTCCCCGTCTTCCCCCCACCCTTGTCACCGTCTTCCCTTCCCCTTATCCTACGTCCCTCCTTCAGACCAGCAATTTTGGTCCCTGTGATGACCCTCCCACAACCCTCCTCCACCACATCTCCAATCGACGATCTTGATCACCCACTGCTCCGATCGACGATCACCCCCCAACTAATCTGATTTAATCGAAGATCCCACCACTGAACGGTGGATTCTGGAACACAAACACTGCAATGGTCTCTATCTCCATCTCACACACATATTGCTTCGTCGGGGAAGGAAGTTCAAGGGGGTGAAAACCGGAGGGAGGAGGTCGCTGCTTGTGCCGTAGATGAAGATGCAGCCCTATGAAGATATATTTGGTCCATTCGAGTTCCATTTATCGAGGTTTGCTTTTGGTCCGTGACACAGATTGGGGGTGACCGGAGATGGATGGTGGTGTATGTGATCTCTATGTGTGTGTTGCGATGTATGTGAGTGTGTTTGATCTCTGTGTGTGTGTGTGTGTGTTGTGGTGTGTGTGCCAGAGATGGGTGGTTGTGGCTGATTAGGGCGTCGTGAAGTAGGGTTTAAGGTTGGGGATGAAACACAAGACCGATCGACCAGCCATGGAATACGTTGGGATGAAGGTCATTATACAAAAATATGTGTATATATATAACATATATAATTACACACACATGTAACACATATACATGTGTGTGTGATTCATTCAAAAGAGAACTAATTAGTTTATGATAACCGTGAGATCCAATGTGAACCACTTGTTTGAGATATTTAATGATATTTATTAAATGAGCTAAAGGGTAATATAGTAATTCTATTTCTGACAACTAATCAAAATATTTAATTAAATTTTTTAAGGAAATATTTAATTAGAATTAGTTACCTAGTATATCAATTACCTAATATACATCGTATTTTAAAAACGTTTGTGAATCAAAGTGTATCATATTGATAACGTTCACAATGTTTCACGTGTATCACAATGTATTTTCTTTCTTTTATGAAATGTATCATAGTATGCATTTTCATTATTTTCATTACTTTACGAAAGGGTATCACATTGTGCATCTTGTATGTATATCTGGGTATCACAGTGAATATCGTTTGTAGGTATCACAGTGTGTATCTTGTGTTCACATAAGATTTATCGGAATAAGGTTCGCCAAATCAGATTCGCCGGAGAGACGAGAGAGGATATTTATAAAATCCCTAAAATGCCCTTAATTAATATTTTAAGTTAAAATTACCAAAATTATTAATTTCTTAATTTAACCCTTGATTTGTGGTTAAGATTGGATCTCACAGTTATCACAAAAAAACAGTTCTCGTATGATAATATATATATATATATATATATATATTATGGCCCTTGATTTAAAAATGTTAAAATAACATAAAATGGAAAAAGACCCTTATGCCCTCGACTATATCGGATGAAATGGATGGTTGTTTGGTCGGGGAACCAAATCCAACAAAAAATGCATATCACATACAAATCCATAATAAATAAAACCTAAGGACGATTACCGTTAAAAACAACAAACCATAGGAACCGAATCTGTAATTTACTCTAAACAAAAAGTTGTTTACGAAATCCACATATATTTGGAAGATTCACAATTGCATACAACTTATATTTATTTTCATATCATCATAAATAAAAACAACATTTAATTAAAGTTAAAATTAAGATTCAATATCATTACATAATTTTTGAGTTTTCTTAATAAGTTTTTCCTTTACCAATACCTTAGCTCTCATTTATATTCTTTTGATGACAGCTTCTGTGCGAGATCATATTTGGAGATATCTGATGTTCTTGATCGATCGCAATACACATGCAATGATCATCAAATCCTTAAAATGTAAATTATTCAACATTACCAAGTCATATAGGCTTGATGAGATAGTCAGGGTGGTGAGCACTTACAACGTAAAGTTTATGCTAGTTTTGTGTGAAAAATAATGCGACATGCATCCATCGTGTTGAAGCATCAACTAGAACCATAAAGTACTTGAATGACTTATATTCTGGATGTATGATTCCATACATATCACTTTGTATTCATTGTAAGAATAGAATCATTGTAGGTGTTTAGGATTAAGGACCAGGAGTTGCAAAAGTTCAAGGTATTCGAGAAAATATATTATGATAGTGGTGTTGTTTTTTGTGCTGCAGAAGTCAGTGGTTGCAATTTGGATAATTGTATCATTTTGTGTTTCACTCAAAAGAGAATATGTTTATGTGGATTTTGCAACACATGAATCATTATGTCATGACCATGATGTACCACGTGATCATGTGGAAACATATATGTGTCATCGTTGCAAAGTTTTTCTTATTGGTGACAAAAAATGATTCAAGGACCCAAAGTTTTTTTTATTAGGACATTTCTTATTTGATTGTCCATCATCTCCTGGGGCAGTAGTTGCATCATCTTTGCTCCAGGTATTAGAATTTTTTTCTGACTTTTGTCCTAACCATGACCCTGTCAACGGTCTCCTCCACGTGGTGCATATATGTCACGTGTGTCAAATTTGTCTTTAACTCACCATCCTTTGGAGCTCTTTCCACCTTTAACTATTGTATTATTGACCTTAAAATTTTTTGTTGTTCCAACATGTCTACTATTGTGATTCAAAAGAACCTTGTTATGTCTCTCAACTGCTTGTAGTAGGTTGATGAGTTTGTCTAAAGATTATCTTCCAGCTTATATTGGTCCATTTAGTTTGATTTTTGATATATGAAAGGTGGAAAGAATGTTATGAATCATGTCATCTTCTGTGAGTTCCTTGCCACAAAGATTGATACATGTTTTGAGACAACATTTCTTTATTAAATCGTTTTTGTTCTTGTAATCAAATAAACGGGTTTCATTCCACTGTACGATTAGTTCAGGAAATACATGTTCATAAAAATTCCTAAAACTCCCTTTCGGTGCGTCTCACAGTTCTTTGAGGGTTTCTGGTTTAAGTTATTCCCTATTAAAACTAGAACCATTATGTCGTCTCAAATACTTGACGATATTTGCTTGTATAGTTTGTTTTTTCCTTCCTTTCTTAATTGGGGTTTTGAATAAGACGACCTTTTTGTATCCAGGGTTGGATTTCATATCCCAATAAACCTCGTAAGATCATAACATGAGTTTTCAGACGGTTGGTTTTTGGGTCCATAAGGAGTTGATGGTTTTTAGGTATTTTCTTGCACCTTTACAATGAAGGTAGTCTCTACATTTGGACATCCATCTATGGTATTCAAATTCTTTTGAGTTTAGGACGTCGAATTCGGGATGAGTTTTTTCAACCATTTATGTAAATAAGGGATGGTATATGAATAAATTATGATGCATGTGAAATTCCATTATCATGGCGATACTGAATTGTTCAATATTAGTATTTCCATATTCGGAAATAAATCGCTTAAACACTTTTGGATTTTCAGGTAAGAGGGAATCGTGTGGATTACTTAAATCCCTACAAATTTTTAGGGTTATTTACACCCATTTGACAAAATCATGTCAATATACTGCGATTAATTCATATATGAAATACATAGGTAACATTAAATATTTGATGGATTTTGACATGAGCTCAAAAAATGAGATCAAATTCAAAAAAATTAATACCATACCGGCATTTTGATAGCTTTTGACAGAAGACCAAAATATATTATGATTTGTGATTGAGACAAACATTAGAATTTTATGTGCAAAATCTTTTAAATTTAATGTATTTAGGCAAGAGGTCAAAAATATGGGGTTAAAAGTATAACTTTCAAATATTAATTATAAAAATGAAAATCATATATGAGTAGGAACTCATAATCCAGATAAACATTTGAATATTATATGGGAAAATAAATCAAATAAAAGTAAATAGTTATGTGAAAGTACAATAAAATCCCATAAATAATAATCTTTTAGTCTAATTCGTTTTTACTTTATTTGATTATTTCAATGAAAAATTAAATAATTATAAATTCGATTGATATGGACAATGAAAATATGACAAAAATGTTTTGTAGATCAGATCATAATACTTACATATAAATAAATAACGTAAGATATTTATAAATTTAAAGAAGAAGACATCTAGATGCTTACTTGAATTAAAGTAACGGGAAGTAAGCGATTCGAGAGTGTCGGGCAATGGACTAAACAACCATTTAACGATGACGGACAATGACTATAAATTCTTAGCTTCCATGTTGATAACGTGTTATAAAAAAATTAAATAGAATAACAGTAAATAGGGGAAAAGGAATCTGCAATTCTCATTAATCATGTTTCCTTTAAATAGGAATGAACTTTATCTATTTATCTCTATCTTTATCATCATATTCTATAGACGATGATACACTTGTTCTTCAATAAATGTTAAATAATGATAGAAATTAGAGTAGGAATTGATTTTTGTCAAGCATCCAAAAGGGTGTTTGGATATGTTTTGAAATTGATTATGTAATATTCAATAATTATTTGTAATTAAATATAGAATTTGACCTTAATGGATCCGTCTCTGATC